CGGAGCCTGGAGGTGCTGAGTCTGGACGTGCTGAGTCTGGGGGTGCTGAGTCTGGGGGTGCTGAGCCTGAGCGTGCTCCACCTGGAGGAGACCCCTCCTCCCAGCAGCTGCAGGAGAGGTACCTCGAGTACTGCCGCCTCCGGAGAGGTGCTTCTGGAGCTCGTCCCGGTACTTCCCCTCCTACCCAGGAGCTCCCCCCCATTCAGGTGATCCGCGAGTGGTACACGCGGCGCTGCAGTCTTCGTAGTGGTGCTCCTGGTACTGCGGACCCGAGCGGTGGTGCTGTTGCTGGTGCTGAGGACCCGGACGCTGGAGCTGCTGCTGGTGCTGAGGACCCGGGCGTTGGAGCTGCTGCTGGTGCTGAGGACCCGACCGGTGACGCTGCTGCTGGTGCTGAGGACCTGACCAGTGGCCCTGCTGCTGGTGTTGAGGACCCGGGCGTTGGAGCTGCTGCTGGTGCTGAGGACCCGACCGGTGGTGCTGCTGCTGGTGCTGAGGACTCGGGCGTTGGAGCTGCTGCTGGTGCTGAGGACTCGGGCGTTGGGGCTGCCACTGGTGTCCCTGCTGCTTCTGGAGACGCTGCGCGGCCGCGACCGTACTTCGTACCGCTCCTTCAGCAGGTTCTTGGTCAGGCTCCTCCTCCTTGTCCTCCTCCCTCCGTCGAGTGTCCTCTGCCTGTCCAGCCGCAGTCACAGTTACCGCCTGTCTCGCCTCTCCCTGCTCCCTCCCCTTACGCTGGTCCCACAGGAGGTCTTACAGAGCGTCGTGAGCCTGAGTCTCGTCCTGCGTCGCCTGTTCGTACTGCTCGCACTGGTCGTCGTGTCCCACGTGAGCGTCCTCCTCCTGTCCCTGGCACTCACTATATGACTCTGCGTCCCTCCACTGCTCCTCAGCGTGTCCCGCTACCGTCTCCTCCCGCTTCCTCTCTTCCTACTCTTCCTGACCCGGAGTCTGACTCCCGTCGTGCTGCCAGTCCCACTGTTACGCGTCTCCTCGCTACAGTTGTCACTGACCCGACCTTTGAGTCCTCTGCTGCGTCTGCCCTGGTCGCTGAGTTGGTTGACTTTGCTGCTCGCTGTCGCCTAGACTACGCTGCCAGCCTTGTCGCTAGGTCTGAGTCTGCGTCTGCCTGTCCTCCGTCCGTCGGGGGTGAGTGTGCTCTCGGCACGGACGTCCTTGAGGACAGACAGGAGGAGTTCCACTGCCTTGCTGCTGCTTTGCCCCGTCTCGTGTCCTTGCTAGTTGCCCCTGAGGGAGACCCGGATGCACCAGACATCCCGACCCCACGCTCTTACGCTGAGGCGATGGCGGGTCACTACTCCTCTCAGTGGCAGACAGCCATGGACGCAGAGATGGCCTCCTGGAAGTCCACAGGCACCTACGTAGACGAGGTTCCCCCTCCTGGGGCGAACATCGTCAGTGGCATGTGGATTTTCAGGGTGAAGCGGCCTCCGGGTTCTCCACCTGTCTTCAAGGCGCGCTACGTGGCTCGAGGCTTCAGTCAGCGAGAGGGAGTAGACTTCTTTCAGACCTTCTCCCCCACCCCGAAGATGACTACTCTTCGGGTGCTGCTGCACATAGCCGCTCACCGCGACTACGAGCTTCACTCTCTTGACTTCAGCACTGCTTTCTTGCAGGGCAGCCTGCACGAGGAGATCTGGCTGCGCCGCCCCCCTGGCTTCACTGGGTCATTTCCTCCTGGCACCCAGTGGAGGCTTCAGCGGCCGGTCTACGGTCTCCGCCAGGCGCCACGTGAGTGGCACGACACACTGAGGACGACACTTGCGGCTCTTGGGTTCGCTCCCTCTACTGCTGACCCGTCGCTGTTTCTACGCACCGACACCTCGCTGCCGCCGTTCTACATCCTCGTGTACGTCGACGACTTGGTCTTTGCCACTGCTGACACCGCGGCACTCGCTCACGTGAAGTCGGAGCTGCAGAGGAGACACACGTGCACAGACCTGGGTGAGCTGACGAGCTATCTTGGCTTGCGGATCACCCGGGACAGAGCACGGCGCACCATCACCCTGACTCAGTCACACATGGTGCAGCAGGTCCTCCAGCGCTTCCGCTTCACGTACTCCTCGCCTCAGTCCACTCCTCTGCCTACCGGTCACTCGCTCTCAGCTCTGCCTTCGGATGAGTCCGTAGAGCCGAGTGGCCCGTATCCAGAGCTTGTGGGCTGCCTCATGTACCTGATGACCTGCACTCGACCTGACCTTGCATACCCTCTTAGCATCCTAGCACGCTATGTCGCTCCTGGCCGTCACCGGAAGGAGCACATGGATGCTGCTAAGAGGGTGTTGCGCTACTTGTGCAGTACGTCGGGCATGGGGCTTGTGCTTGGAGGGCGAGACCGGGTTGTTCTCACAGGGCACTCAGACGCTTCTTGGGCAGACGACCAGGCTACTCAGCGGTCGTCCCAGGGTTACACCTTCAGCCTTGGCTCTGGCTCAGTTTCTTGGCGTTCTACTCGCTCTTCTTCTGTTCTCAGCTCCAGTTGTGAGGCTGAGATCTACGCCACAGCCATGGCTGCTCAGGAGCTACGCTGGCTGACCTACCTGCTGACCGACCTCGGAGAGCGGCCTCGTTCTCCTCCAGTGCTGTACGTCGACAACAAGGCTGCCATTGCCTTGTGTGAGGAGCACAGACTGGAGCACAGAACGAAGCACATCGCTCTGCGGTACTTCCTTGCTCGAGAGCTGCAGCAGCGTGGTCAGCTTTGTCTGCGTTACGTGGCCACGGAGGCCAACACTGCTGATGTGTTCACCAAGGCGCTTCAGCCTTGTGATCATCAGCGCTTTTGCACTCTGCTAGGCCTTGTACCTACTGGGCCTCACTTGCTTACCTCTTGACCTTACTTGTACTGTGATCACTATATATATATGCCTTCTTGCTTACTTTTGCTAGGTTGTGATCACTGTATCTCTTACTTTGTTATAAACCTGCATGTGAACTGGTCTTGTGACCGCTTGCTTGTGCTCGGAATTTGTGTGGAATCCTTGAGATCCACCCTGAGCTTGCTTTGCTTTGCTTTGACTGGTCTTGTGACCCTGTGGTTGTTTCCCACTGCGCCTATGGGGGTGTGTCAAACATTGCATGTTTATATTGTCTAGGCTGTAGTGGGTTACACCTTAGGGGGTACACAAAGTTAGGGTTTCCTACTTGTACCAAACTCTGTTCTAGTTCATTCATTCCTGCTCAGTTATTTCTGACAAAAACACCCGAGAGATTCAGTCAACTAGCTTTTCAATAGTGTAATAAATATAAATAAAAAAACACCGACTAAGGACACGGTTGTACTGCTTCAGTGGTTAGGGAAATCGATATCGAATGGTAAGGTTCTCGGTTTGAATCCCTTAGCTGTCTAGTTTTGAAATTTCCAAACATCCATTATGTGCTCGAAAATTCAGGCTTTTATTTTTAGGAACCCTGAAAATTCAGGCCTTTTTTTTAAGGAACCCTGAAGATTCAGGCCTTTTTTCATAGGGACCCTGATGCATCAACGTCACTAAAAGTGAATCTGAGGGCCTGTCAAGAAATGGCATTTCTCTCTCGTAAATACCGTAGTTTTTATTCAGGCTAAATATCCCCCTTGGAAAGGACGGATTGGGAAGGAGCAGGCCCTCAGATTCACTTTTAGGGACGTTGATGCATCAGGGTCCCTGTGAAAAAAAAGGCTGATTTTCAGTGTCCCTGAAAAAAAAAGCATGATTTTTCAGGGTCCGTAAAGAAAAAACTCTGATTTTCACCTATGTCATACCTTCACTACGATTACAACATATGAGCTATACAGCCTACGGAAATTGAACCTCAGACATTCCCCTTCGACAAGATTCCACAACAACTAAGACACTCTCAGCTGTTGGCAAACGGTTTGTAATTAACAAGACCACAACACTAGTCATCTCGGGCGTTTCCCAGGAAAGATGACGAATGTGCATTCAGTGAAATGAAGGCTGAAAAGCCAGTCTCACAAAAATCTACACACTGGAAAATCAGTGTAGGTGCACAAAACTAGGCTGAAAATCAGGAATTTCAGGGAAAAAACATAAGGAAGTAGGGCCTGATTGGGAGACTGCAGGACAGAGCATTGAGCGAGCAGGAAGCTGGACGAGTGCCGTACCGCATTCTGTCAAAACATGTTAATGTTTTTGCTGTGTAGGCTGTAGTGGGGTAGCCTATAAGGGGTACAACCCAATTAGGGTTAGTACTTGTACTCAGCTTCTACTCAATGCATCCATTCTCATTCAGTAGTTTGACATGGTTTCAGAGCAGGTCCTGTTCCATGACCGTCTTTAGGGCCCACCAAATCGCGTCGCGCTGCCCCACCAGTCGCGTTGCATTGCCCTGCCCTGCCTTGCGTAGCGGTGCCCGCGCACGCCCTGCCCTGCCCTATGTTGCACCGCCCTGCGCACGCCCTGCCTTCGTCGTGCTGCCCGCGCACGCCCTGCCCTGCGTCGCGCCGCCCCGCGCATGCCCTGCCTGCGTCGCGCCGCCCGCGCATGACGTGCCCTGCATCGCACCGCCCCGCGCACGCCCTGCCTGCGTCGCGCCGCGCGCGTACGCCCTCCCCTGCCCGTCGCGCCGCCTGCGCACGCCCTGCCCTGCGTCGCACTGCCCGCGCACGCCTTCCCCTGCGTCGCGTCACCCTGCGCACGCCCTGCCCTACCCGTCGCGCCGCCCTGCCGGCCGCGCGCCGCCCTGACCTACTCGTCGCGCCGCCCCCGTGCCCGCGCGCCGCCCTTTTCCTGCCCGCGCGCTGCGTTGCTAGCTGCGCGCCGCCCTTTCCTGCCCGCACGCCGCCCTGCTAGCCACACGCGGCCCTTTCCTGCCCGCGCGCCGCCCTGCAGGCTGTCGCGCTGCCCTACGCATCGCCCTTCCCTGACCGTGCGCTGCCTTGCCCTGCCCTGCGTGCCTCCCTAGTGCACGCGCGCCACCCTGCTCTGCTAGCTATGGCTACCCTCAGCGTTCTCACCTTCGATCCTGAGGGCCGTCCGATGCAGTTTGATACATGGCCTGACGACTTACAGCTGTACCTACTGAGCGATTCTAAAGACGGCGTCTCGTTGTTTGACCACACGTCTGGAGCCTCTCTCGCTCCTCCCGATACAGCTGACAGTGCGTCTCGCTCACTGTGGCTTACCCGTGACGCTGCCGCTCGCCTAGCCGTTCGCAACCACCTGCCGTTAGCCGAACGCGCTCACTTTGGCCAGCACAAGACTGCTAAAGCCCTGTTCGACGCTGTAGTCGCTCGTTACTCCTCCCCTGCCACTGCTGCTCTCGGCCGCCTTATACTGCCCTACCTTTTTCCCGAGCTGTCAGCCTTTGCCTCAGTCGATGTCCTCATCACCCACCTTCGCACTAGCGACACTCGCTACCGCGCCGCGCTTAAAGCTGAGTTCGTAGACAAGAACCCGCCCCCGATGTACAGCACTCTCTACTTCATAGTCATACGCCTCCCTGATTCTCTTCACGCAGTCAGGGACCACGTTCTCGCCCTTGACCCCACGTCAGTCGACCTGCTCGAGAAGCACCTCCTTGCAGCTGAGACTAGCATAGTCGCTGTAGGTGCTGCTCGTGGCACTCCTCGCACTCCCTTCTTTAAGGGGTGTTCCCCCTCCCCCATTGCCACCTCCTCCGCTTCTGCTGCTGCTGTTGACTTCCTTGGTGTAAAGGATGTCGGGGCTGCGTCTGCTCCTAGTGGGAGGCGCCGCAGCGGCAAGGGCAAGGGAGGCAAGAGTGGTGGAGGTGGCGGCAGGGGAGGCGGTGGTGGAGGCGGTGGAGGCGGTGGAGGTGGCGGTGGTGGCGGTGGGAGTGGTGGCGGGACTGGGGGCGTGGGTGGCGGCGGTGGTGGTAGGGGTGGGAGTAGTAGCGGCAGTGGTGGCGGCAGTGGGAGTGGTGGCGGCGGTGGTGGCAGCAGTGGGAGTGGTGGCGGCGGCAGTGGTGGTGGTCGGGGTGGAGCCGTTAAGAGGGGAGGTTCTGGCAGTGGCCGGAGGCAGCAGGAGCAGCGTCCGCGTGAGACCCTTATGCCCCAGCAGCTTCGTGAGTGGTTTGCTCAGCGTGGGGCGTCTGGGGGTAGTGTTCGCTGCCCGTACGTCATTCGCACAGGTGACCGCGCTGGTCAGACATGCGGGAAGTATCACACACACCCAGCACCGCTGCTTCTCCCGCCTTGACGACGCTTGGCGCGCAGAGTTTGGCAACGAGGCAGAGCTTCTCCGCTGGCTAGAGCTGCTTAGGTCTGGTGTTGATATCTTTGCTCTTGACTATGACGCTATATTTGCTGCCATGCATGCTTTGACTGTTAGTGCTAAGGGTGACTGTTACCTGTGTGTGCCGCCCGACCCAGGTATAGAGGCTGCTGCTCTAGGTGCTAGTGAGTCTGCTCCCTCTGGTACTGCGCCTGCTGAGGCCTTGCACACCTTCACGCTGGACTCTGTTTCTTTCGCAACAGTACCACAGTCACACCACTCCCTGCACCCGTTGCAGTCTCACTGGCTGACCCCTCTGGGGGCCCGGTTCTTGCACGTTCCTCCACCTTTCTCCCGTGTCCGGCGGTTTCGTCCGGCTTAGTGTCAGGTCTCCACCTCCCCTCGTTCTCGACGAACTTGGTGAGCAACACAGTCCTTGAGGATGCATGGGTGGAAACCTTTACCCCTGGAGGGCAGCGTGTGGCGATCTGCACGTGCTCTCGGACTGGCCGTCACCTGGCCACGTTCACCCGTCGGCCTGGGTCGAGTCTGTACACACTGACTACTACGCCTCCTCAGGCGGCTGCGTCTGGTCAGGTGTCCGCGTCAGGTCAGGTAGCAGCCCCCTGCTCGTGTCGCCTCCTGTCGCACCAGACTCTCCTCTGGCACCACCGCCTTGGTCACCCCTCCCTGCCACGCCTCCGTGGCATGCACTCCCGCCTCCTTGTCTCTGGTCTTCCCAGGTCTCTGCCTCCTCTCCCTCCCTCAACTGCCCCGCCCTGCCTTCCTTGCGTCGAGGGGCGGCAGCGCGCCGCTCCTCTCTCCTCCTTGTTTCCCCCGACGACTGCTATGCTGCAGACTCTCCACATGGACGTGTGGGGCCCAGCCCGCGTCAGTGGACAGGGCCGCGAGCGATACTTTCTGCTGGTTGTTGACGACTACACGCGTTACACCACGGTCTTCCCCTTGCGCAGCAAGGGGGAGGTATCTGATGTCTTGATCCCTTGGATCCCCGTCTCCAACTCTGCGAACGGTTCCGCATGGACCTTCCTGTCCTGCGTCTGCACTCTGACAGAGGTGGTGAGTTCTCCGCTGACCTCTTGCGGGGCTTTTGTCGTGAGGAGGGCATCCTCAAGTCGTTCACGCTTCCGGCTCCTCGCAGCAGAATGGGATTGCTGAGCGCTGCATTGGCTTAGTCATGGAGGTGGCTCATACCTCCATGATCCATGCGGCTGCTCCCCATTTTCTGTGGCCGTTTGCGGTCCGGTACGCTGCGCATCAGCTCAACCTCTGGCCCCGTGTCTCCTTGCCGGAGACCTCGCCTACACTGCGTTGGACGGGGGAGGTTGGCGATGCGTCGGTATTCCGGGTCTGGGGCGCTCATGCCTATGTCCGCGATACCTCTGCGGACAAGCTCTCCTCTCGCGCCATTCCCTGTGTCTTCCTTGGCTTCCCCCCTGACGCGCTTGGCTGGCAGTTTTACCACCCCACCACGCGCCGTATTTTGTCTTCTCAAGACGTCACGTTTGACGAGTCGGTTCCCTTCTACCGTCTCTTCCCCTACCGCACTGCCCCGCTCCCCCCCCCCGCCGCTCTTCCTCTCTTCCTGACGTTCCGGACCCTGAGTCTGACTTGGTTCGTGCTGCCAGCCCTACTGTCACGCGTCTCCTGGCCACTGTTGTCACTAACCCTTCTTTTGAGTCCACTTCTGCGTCTGTCTTTGTTGCTGAGCTTGTTCACTTTGCTGCTGCGTGTCGTCGAGACTATGCCACTAGTCTTGTTGCTGAGTCTGAGTCAGTCTGTCCTCCGTCCGTCGGAGGTGAGTGTGCTCTTGGCACAGACGTCCTTGAGGACAGGCAGGAGGACTTTGAGTGTCTTGCAGCTGCTGTACCTCATCTCGTGGCCATGCTGCTTGCACCTGAGGGAGACCCGGATGCACAGACAGCCATGGACGCAGAGATGGCATCCTGGAAGTCCACAGGCACTTACGACGACGTAGTTCCCCCTCCTGGGGCGAACATATTCGATGTGTATTTTCAGGGTGAAGCGGCTGCCGGGTTCTCCGCCTGTCTTCAAGGCTCGTTACATTGCACGAGGCTTCAGTCAGCGACAGGGAGTTGACTTCTTCCAGACCTTCTCCCCTACCCCGAAGATGACTACTCTTCGGGTGTTGCTGCACGTTGCCGCTCAGCGTGACTACGAGCTTCACTCTCTTGACTTCAGCACAGCCTTCTTGCAGGGCAGCCTGCACGAGGAGATCTGGCTGCGCCGTCCTCCTGGCTTCACTGGGTCGTTTCCTGAGGGTACCCAGTAGAGTCTCCGACAGCCAGTCTACGGTCTCCGCCAGGCACCTCGTGAGTGGCACGACATACTGAGGACGACACTTGCGGCTCTTGGGTTTGCTCCTTCGACTGCTGACCCGTCGCTGTTTCTGCGCATCGACACTTCGCTGCCGTCGTTCTACATCCTCGTGTACGTCGACGACTTGGTCTTTGCCACTGCTGACGCTGAGGCACTGGCTCTTGTGAAGTCGGAGCTGCAGAAGAGACACACCTGTGCCACTACCTTGGCTTGCAGATCACCCGGGACAGAGCACGGCGCACCATCACCCTGACTCAGTCACACATGGTGCACCAGGTCCTTCAGCGCTTCGGCTTCCGGTTCTCCTCGCCACAGTCCACTCCTCTGCCTACCGGTCACTCGCTCTCAGCTCCACCTTCGGACGAGTCCGTAGAGCCGAGTGGCCGATATGTAGAGCTTGTGGGCTGCCTCATGTACCTGATCACCTGCACTCGACCTGACCTTGCGTACCGTCTTAGAATCGTGGCACGCTACGTTGCGCCCGGGAGACACCGACTACAGCACTGGGAGGCCGCTAAGAGGGTATTACGCTACATGAGCAGTACATCGGGCATGGGGCTCGTCCTTTGAGGACGGAGTTCAGTTGTCCTCACTGGACACTCAGACGTGTCTTGGGTTGACAACCTGGCTACGCAGCGGTCGTCACAGGGTTACACTTTCAGCCTTGGCTCCGGCTCTGTTTCTTGGCGGTCTACCCGCTCATCTTCTCTACTCAGCTCCAATTGTGAGGCGGAGATCTACGCAGGAGCCTTTGCTGCACAGGAGTTACGTTGGCTCACCTACCTGCTGACCGACCTGGGAGAGCGGCCTTGTTCTCCTCCAGTTCTGTACGTAGACAACAAGGCCGCTATTGCCTTGTGTCAGGAGCACAGACTGGAGCAAAGAACGAAGCACATCGCTTTGCGTTACTTCCTTGCTCGAGAGTTGCAGCAGCGTGGTCAGCTTCGTCTTGCTTACGTGGCCACACGGGCCAACACTGCTGATATATTCACTAAGGCACTTCCGCCTGGTGATCATCACTGTTTCTGTACTGCTCTAGGCTTTGTGCCTATTTTGTCTCACTTGCTCACTGCGTAACTTTGCTTGTACTGTGATCTATATATACATATACCTGCATGCTTACACTTGCTAGGTTGTGATCCCTGTATTGTTTGTTCTCTTTTATATAACTCTGCATGTGAACTGGCCTTGTGGCCATTTGCTTGTGCTCGGACTGTGTGGTGACTTTGTGATCCACCCTGAGCTTGCTTTGCTTTTCTTGACTGGTCTTGTGACCACTCATTCTCCCCAGTTTGCCTATGGAGGTGTGTCAAAACATGTTAATGTTTTTGCTGTGTAGGCTGTAGTGGGGTAGCCCATAAGGGGTACAACCCAATTAGGTTTAGTACTTGTACTCAGCTCCTACTCAATGCATCTATTCTCGTTCATTATTTTGACATATTCACTTATCGTAATACCCCATGTTACGAGATGGAACTGTTGAATAAACATTCCTAAGTAACGAATCCTTAACGCGAAGATGACTGCAGCGAGGACGAAGACCGAGCGACGTGACAGTTATCGAAGACAGTTTCAAGCAAGAAGAATTCGAAGTGCAAAGCGCGGAAACGGTTACCGAACCGCGTACAGTTATCGAACCGCACGGTTGCAATTCTTCATCTAGATTAGCACTAAGGGGAATGTACCCCCTTGAGAGTACATGGCTAGCTAGGACCTTTCGTATTCCATTGTATTCCTAAAAAAATTCTTGTACCGCTTTATATTAGTCACTTCTGTCGAGATTCAAATCTCCTTCTTCTGATAGGGTCTGTATTCGACATTACCAAGCAATCTTCCGCTGCTACACTCCGTGCGATCAACCTGAGATGATACTCAGGATTCTTCGCATCACCACCTTTGATTCAAATTCAAATTCAAGGTGGCGTCCGGTACGCGCTCCCGCCGAAACATGGCTGGAGGATCTGGCGGACAAGCAAGCATGCGTCCAGGCGCAATTATGCGACCGGGCGCAAGCATGCGACCGGGCGCAAGCATGCATCCGGGCACAAGCATGCGACCGGGCACAAGCATGCGTTGCTTACCCGTATCATTGGTACTTAATATAATATAATTGCGTATCATTCTTGCATCATTGGTACTTGATATAATTGCGTTGCTTACCCGTATAGTAGGCAATACCAGGAAGTGCATTTCTTACCCGTATGGTTGGTACTAGGAGTAAGTGCGTTATTTCCCTGTATGGTTGGTACTAAGCCTATGTGCGTTACTTACCCGCATGGTTGGTACAAGGTGTATGTGTGTTACTTACCCGTACGGTTGGTATTAGGGAAAGTGTGTTACTTACCCATATGGTTGGTACTAAGAGTAAAGACGTTATTCTTCCAGATGGTTGGTACTAGGAATAATGAAGTTACCTAACCGTATGGTTGGTACTAAGAGTAAGTGCGTTACTTACCCGTATGGTTGGTACTAGGAGTAAGTGCGTTATTATCCATATTTTTGTTATTAAGAGTAAGTGCGCTACTTACTGTTAATTACTATTTGGGATCTAGAAGCTCTTAGCACACCTTTACATCACACAAGGTAGTCCCCACGGGATCACCTCCAAGGGTCCTTGGGTGCCTGGTAAAACCAGCCCCTATCCAAGGGTCCGTGTTTGTAGAGGGATTCCCTAAGTATGAAAACCGTCGTGTGCACGAGAGCACTCCCAAACTCGTATGCGGAAGCGTTGACGATAGATTGAACGTGTGCAGAAAATTCTCCTCGCGTCAATACGTCGATAGAGAATATTTTCACTCGTCAAAGTTGTGATTACAAGCAAACACAAGCACACATTTATAGAAAGCACTAAGCACGAACTAGAGCAAACACAAGGCAAACATTTTATAGTTATGAAACTGTAATTTAGGACTTCGCCATGTTGTCATAGAAAAACGGTTGTCAAACTTCATGCATTTGGCTTGATCCGCTTCCTTAAAATAACTGACTCCGAGTTGTACTTGATCCAAACGACCCTGCTGA